AGGTACAATAGTTTTTCTTTTGTTTAACTTACTTACTTGTGTAGTAAAGTAACTACACTGATATGTAGCCTACGGTTCGTACTTTTTACTTCCCCTACCTCGTCGCCCTCCCCCCCCCCCCCCCTCCCCCTCCTCTCTCTCTCTCGTTTTCCCTTCTCTCTCTTGCTACCATTGTTCCTCCTTTCCTAGAGATCTAGGCCCACGAACTTTACAAATTCACTTTTGATTTGCATAGTACAGAATCATTTGTGTTTCCCTCGTACACCTTGGTTACCGGAAGATTTATTTTACAATTTCGTGGGCATTTAATTACCCAGATGTTTAAGATGCCAAAATTCGCTCGACGCAGGTTATTGTAGTCTTTTGAAACTCAAGTATTTGTTCTTAAGGGACTTAATCCATCATTTTATCTCTTTATAACAATCCTAAATTTCACACCTTCTTGAAACTCAAAACCAGTGTAACGATCTATGTGAAGTATACATGATGACATGTAACATTGATCTGTTAATGGTATCGGAAAGCAATGACTAATGTTTCCATGTGTGTTTTTTCTTTATTTTTGGCTCACCATGAATCGTTCATCTTGATGTGTCTCTTGACAAATTTCTTGTGCAAGATTTGAGTGCTTACAGTTGTCCCGGGATCAGTTCTTTTAGTTTTCTACCTTAAATTTATGGATAAGTGGCCTTTAGTATCTGAGTTCTACTGGTTTACCGGTCAAGACCATTATTTTGCACAATCCGCTGCCATTATGGTGATTATTTACTAACAATTCAAATCAAATTAGAAACCATATTACCATAGCTTACTGTTGTAATATATTGGTCCATTTCATCTGTTAGTGCTTCACATATATGTAGTCATGTATGTTTTTGTGTTTTTTTAATTATTCTGTTATCATATTGGGACAGGTAAGCAATGTCATACATGAAGCAAGGGCTATGGACATTAATACACAATTGTTGTTTCCCCTTGGTGAAACTGCATCCGCAATCCGTGGAGAAAATGAACTCTGGCTCGCAATGGTTCTTCGTAATAAAATTTTCTTGGACCTGAGGCCAGCACAGCTTGCTGCTGTTTGTGGAAGTTTAGTTTCGGAAGGCATTAAAGTGCGTTATTGGAAAAGTCATAGGTATGTCTTCTATCTTAATAGTTTAATAGTGTTTCAATTCTATGATGATCTAGTGAGGAGACCTTTATTAGAACTGCGAGACAGATTTGTTGTTTTGGAAAAAGAATTTTAATATTTCAAAACTTGTAGCAAAACTTTTTCACCTGAATCTCAGATTTAGTTGAATTGTTTAGAACTGTTGAGTCAGTTAAAATCTTCATAATTGGTGGACATGCTGCTCTTGTGGTTTTGATTTTGAAAATTTAAGTTGACATTCTTATGATGGATTGATTTCTTTTACTATAGAAGACTAAGATTCAATAGGTTGAGAAATCATGATAGTACGAATGGCCCTATTTGGATCCTAGTTATGAAGGGTTGCGATGTTATCCTTTTTCTTCAAAAGAAACTCACTCTTTACTATTTTAGTATAAAAAGTTAGGCCTAAGATTTTTCGTATAGATTTGGGTAATAAGTGAGAAGGCGATGGAGGGAAAAATTGTTATTATGTTTATTTTTTATTCAATTTCGAAGGATGTATATTATAGTTTTAGTTTTAAGGTTTATCTCTAGGGTTTTTATTGCTTTTTAGGGATTCTTGGGTTTTTTTTATTTTTATTTTGATATATATATATATATATATATTACTTCATGAGTACTATTCACAAGTACTATTTATGAGTACTGTTCATGGGTAGAGTTCATTGGGATAAAACTGTCATTATGAATTTTAAGTTTAAATTAGAATATATGGGTTAATATATTGTTTGTTTGGACACTTTTTGTACTTGGAGCATTTAATAATATTATAAAGAGGTGACTGGGGACCTAGGAGAAGGCAATCACGTGATTTTCTAGAATTGAGAAAAAAGAAAAGCTCAGGCTTTTGTTACCCTAGCTGGGTGTGGAGAAAAAATCTTAGGTTTTTTTGAATTGTGCTCGTGTTTTGCGTTGTTTCTTGTTGATTTGACTCATCATCATCATTTTAGCCTTTTCCCTGTTAATTGGGTAGGTTATATGAATCTTGGTTCTCTATTCAGCTCTATTAAAGGCCATGTCCTTAGTGAGGCCTTAAGTCCCCATATCTTTTCGGACTACTTCCAACCACGTCCTTTTGGTCCTACCCTTTGCCCTTTTCAATCATTCCACTTGAACTAACTCGTACTTACTAATAGGTGTTGTACTTGGTCGTTCTTGCTGATTTTACTCTTTTATCGAATTTCCCCAATTTGGTATCAGAATTCAAGGTTTCTTCAACCACAAGGCCAAGGAACTATAGCCAAATCTAGGTTTTGCTGAGTTTGGCTCAAGTTTCACCATATCAGCCTAGCTTTTGTTGATTTCAGTAGTTTTTGTTGATCATGTACCTAGGGTTTGTGATTTCAGCGAAGCCATAGCAGCAAGAAGGGACTATGGGAGGGGGTTTCGAGGCCTGCTCTGTGATCCCAGCGATAATAGAATTGAGGAACTTGAAAAGCAAGTTAGCAATTGACACAGTAGTTCGTGAGCGGTAATAGTGGAAAAGACGGTGATATTTCAGCCCAAGAGGATCTTGAGTACGAGCCTTTTCACTTTCGCGTAATGCGTGGGGAGCGGAGTGATGAAGATAGTGACAAAATACTTGATGTGGGGAACATTACTCTAGGGTTTTTGATTTGAAAGATGAGATTCTTGATTTTGACATAGATTGCAGAAAATTTTTGCAAGCTGTAGATTGGGATTCACCACTAAGCTTCGATACATACTCCGATGCATAACAAGATCGTTTAGGGGATCCATTCTATGATATGGATTAAGATGATGATGATGAGATTTTGGAAGAAGGTAAAGAATATGGAGAGAGGCAACAAGAGGATTGATTCGAATCATGGCCTTTGAAGATCTTATTAACAGTGATTCAAAGAACCGACCGCTTGGCGCCTAAACGGTCCATAAGGCCTTGGCGCATCGCCTAGGACTAGGTGGCCAATTTGGGTGGCAGTCCCTGGGGGGCTGCCTTGACAGTATGGAACTCGCCTAGGCGCGCCTAGGGCTTACGCCCCACCTAGGCGGTACGGAACCCGCCTAGGCGGCCACCCCGCCCAGAGGCGGAATTTGTTTTTTTTTCAAAGTTGACAAAAATTGATCAAAACATCACCCATTGATATTAGATTTAATTTTTGATGTTTTATTGGGGGGTTTTGTTAGAAGTTTTTGAGTCCTTGGAAGCATCTTTGACTGGGTATCCTTTTTGGATTAGACTGGGCCGCCCAGGTTTTGGGTGCCCGCCTAGGCTCTAGGCAGCCTGGAACCCTCAGGCCGACTAGGACCCGCTTAGTGCTTTTTGGAACTATGCTCATTAATATCGAAGAGGTAGAGCATTCAAGAAATTTAGGGTATTGGAATCAAAATAGCACAGATAAAACGTGGTTAACTCATAAACCGCAAATTGTGGTTTTGATTTCAGAAAGTAATGAAATAGATGTTGAGAAAGCCTCTAAAGACTAGAAAATTGGGTTTGAAGTTTCCTGCACAATTTCCAATGGGAGTTCAAGGATAGCTTTATTTGATAAATTTGTATTGATTCCTTAATATACATATCAGGATCCATTTCTTTAGGAATATTTGAGCCGACAAAGAAAAAGAAGGTTGAAGGAGGTCGTTTTGATGCTGAATTCATCTTAGCACACTTGAAAACTCTAGGACGAGTTTTCTTCAACTAAGGGAGAATGATGGAGGATAAAAAAATTATTATTTTTAATTTTTATTCAATTTCAAAGGATGCATATTATAGTTTTGGTTTTAATGTTTATTTCTAGTGTTTTTTTTTTAGGGATTCTAGGATTTTTATATTTTTTATTTGCTTCATAAGTACTATTCACAAGTACAGTACGTGAGTACAGTTCATAGGGGTAAAACTATTATTGCAAATTTTAAGTTAAGATATATGGGTCAATGTATTGTTTATTTGGACACTTTTTATGTTTGGAACATTGAACAATATTATGAAGAGGTGCATGGGGGTCTTTGAGAAGGTAGTCACATGAATTTCCAAAATTGAAAAAAAAAGAAGAAGAAAATCTTAGGCATTTGCTACCCTAGCTTGGGTGTGGAAAAGAGACTGCAGGTTTCTTTGAATTGTACTTGTGTTTGGCTTTGTTTCTTGCTGATTTTACTATTTTCTCAAATTTCCCTACATCAAGAGGCCACATAAGAAAGGGAAAGGAGAGGATCGTGATTGTCTCAGAAAAGCGGGTGTTTGTTGCATGTGCTGATATGTGTGCGTGTTTGTCAGTGTGCGTGTCTCTCTGAGGAAAGGAAGAAAAGAGGAAGGGCGGGGGTGCTGTTGATATCAATCTAGTGTGGGCGGGCGGGGTGTGACAACCCAAAATTTTTGAAACTGAATAATAATAATGATAATAATAATAATAATAAATTTTTATGAGAATCCATGGTGTTAGTAATACACCATAGGGGCCATTCTTTTCATCTTCTTTGATAGATTTGGAAAAAGGTCTTGTTATTCTGAAACTGATAGGGGACTGTTAGCCTTTTTCTAAATAAAATGGTTCAAAAACAATTTTTATTACTTGATGCTAGTTTATTTTTATAGTGTAGACCTTATGGTCTACATTTCATTTGCACCTTAAAGGTAGTGTTTCACCACTTTACGTGGCAACACCATTTCGTTGGCCTCTCTCGCTCTGTCTCTCTCTCTCTCTCTCAACATGTCAACTTAACAACCCCTTTGGTAACCTATTGACGATCCATTTCATTATTTGTTGACACGTCTTAAGTGAGGTATTGCAAAAGTTTCCCTTTCTCTTATCCTTAATATAATAAGACCCCTCTCTCTGACCTTTATGCCAATGAAACTCTCTATCTCTTACCTTTATTACAATGAACCTCTCTCTCTTGGCTGTTCCTTTTTGTGTTTTTCTCTCTCATATGGTTCAATAGTGTACAATAGAAGAAAGGTTTTTGTCATAGTGGAGATTATAGGAAGTGGGTATGTTTTGTATAGGCTTTGTTTTGTTCATAAAGAGAGGCTTGCTGCTGTATAGAGAGAGAGAGAATTTGAAGGCCAAAGTAAAGTAGATGAACACATCAAGGCCCAGTTTTTTTTTTTTGATAGCTGTTGACGTTTGTATTAGCAAGAGAAGAGATACAAGATTTGTCCAAGGGAGCCTTAGGATCGAGGCTCCTGGTAAAAAAGAATTGGTCAATTGACTGTATACAAAATGGAGTTATAAAATATCCCCTGACACAGTATTCAGCACATGTACAAAAGAGATATAGGAAAAAAGGGAAAATACAAAACCCTGACCGAGAGGAGCACCAGCAGATAAGTAGATAAAGAGGCCGACCCAAAAAGAGCAGTGGTAGGGCCTTTACTTCTTCATGGGCCAAGGCTCCGTCCTTGGCTAGCAGATTGGCGAACCCATTTGATGTCCTCGAGATATGTGTCCATGAGACAGGCGTCACCCTGCAAAGATAGTCAGTCTCATCATAAATATGTGAAAGGTACCAAGGGGGGGGGATGCAGTTCTAGAAGCTCAAGAGATGATGTTCCTTGCGTCGCCCTCCACAATAAGAATGTCCCCAAGATCAATCAAAACTCTGTAGACCTCTAAGGAGGGCCATAGATTCACCAAACTGTGAGTCTTGGATACCGAGGTATTCAGTGTAGGAGAGAAGAATGTTTTGATGGTTATCCCTAAAGACCCCTCCTGCACCAGCATGTCCTGAGTTGCCTAAAGAGCAGCCGTCAAAATTCAGTTTGATCGCTCCTTGGGGAGGGGGTTTCCAAGAAGATTTAGCTTTGTTTTTCCTTGGATTGTGTAAGAGGATAAGCTCCCAATTGGTGAGGAAAGAGTCCATGGGGATACCGTTGAAAAGGAGGTGTTGTGACGCCCAGAAGGTTACTAAGGACGTAACCTTAAAGAAGAGCGCAGGACCTTGGTTGACCATTCCCCAAAAAATTCGGGCGTTTCTTTCAATCCAAATGGTCCAAATTGGGGAGGGGGTTTGCAAGAAGATTT